AACACCACGAAAGGAGGGCAAAGTACAGGAAATGTGAGCACATGCCAAAAAATAAACACTTGGGCTACAGTCAGCTGGTAACCCTGGGAATTCAAACTCACGAAGCCAGCCGGAACGTCTTGGCGTTCTAATGGAGACCAGCCCATGGGCGCCAATTACCCACCTCTCCAAAAACACCTCAAACATTGTCCCTTTCTTTCTTCCCTCTTGTGAACATCCATTAAGCGATGTACATGGCAGTTCAGTGCACCGCACGAATTTAATACATCTGCTCTATTTTTTGTTCAAATGCACGAGGAAGCGTAAAGTGGTTTCAACTAACAAAGGGCGAGGGGCGTTTGAAAAAAAACAATCATGCACTGGGGCATTCGGGGAGAATTTGGCTTCGTTCCGTGGGATAATAAAATCTGTGGTTAAAACGAAATAAAATTTTTCTCCCCAGAAAAATAATAATTATACATCTGCGGTGTGTTTTTTTGTTTTATTTTTGGTGACCGGCTCAAATGAACGCCGGCTGAAATGCGGTTGGTCTGAAATGACGTTTCAGGAACGTTCGTTTATTTAGTTGGGCAAAAGATAATTCATGTAAATATCGGATCATCATGTGCCTGCGATTCGCCACGGAGAGGACAACGTCCGTCCTTACGTGCGGCTCGGTGAACGCATCGCGAGATCTAATAACACTGGTCAACACACTTTTTCTGCATAAGGTATTCCAACGGTTTGAAGGTAATTTTGGGGTGCTGATTCCAAATCTGGTATCAGTTTTTGTCTATCACATCAGGTTTTTGAGATATCAAATATTGCATTTTCAATAAAAACTGCAGAAGAAAAATATTAAATAAATGTGGATATCTACATAAAATGAGATTATAAACACACTATCCTAAAAATACAGCAAGCACCATATTTTAACACTAAAGCAGTCACTGACTCGCAACAACTTGCAATCATAAGTGACAGAGTTAATTTCGGGTAAAATCAATGAAAATGGGGTATGCCGATAGCATAAAAATGAGATGTGATAGAGCAAATCTGAGATCAGTTTTGGAATCAGCACCCTGAAGTTAGTCTAAAACAGCTGCAAAAGTCCAGGCCAGAAAAAAAATATTTTTTTTAGTTGACCAGTGTAATTTATCGATACTGATCCACGTGATCAATCGCTGTCTTATTAGCAAGCTACTGAAGCTGTTAGGAAGCTGCTGGAGGTTTAGGAGAAAGGCACTGAAGCTATGCGCTTTTAAATCAAAATTGAAAAATAATATCATTAGAACTGTCTTTGTGTTTAGTTTGTTGTCCTTCCGCCGCACCTCCGATTAGCACGGCTGGCTACGTACGGCGCAAAAGAAGCTCAGCATACAGTACGTACCATTGTCACATCTTTGAAGTTAGAGACCCCCCCCCCCCCAGGCCACCTGGCCCAGCATAAAGGCAAAATGACACAAACTCTAACCCTCAGATTTTTGTTGCAAATGTCAAATATTATTTGAAATATTACTTGACATTTTAAACAAATGTTTTAAAATAGCTCACTCACGACACTAACGAAGGAAATTCCTCCACTAGAGCTCCCTCTCGGAGGGGCATTTTGACCTCCCCTTTCACCCTGGCCACACATCTTAGAAGAGGTGGGAGTCACCCACACTTTACCCCACCACGCGTGACCTGCCAATAAATGCATCCATTTATATTGCCGCGTGGACAATATAAAGTTTTTTATTTTACCGCACAGTAATGAATATAAACGTTTCTGCCGCTCATTTCCACATTAATGTGCATTAGCCAATAACCGCCGAAACAATTTTCGAAAATGTCCTTGATGCCTCGCTTATTGTTGGTAATTACGGGCAGTTTATCTTCAACATCATTGAATTAAACCCCGACACTGCTTAGGCCATTTATTTAAATTGTCAGCGCGCTCCAGTAAGTCGTGGTCCTCGCTCCATTTGGTTGCCTTTTTATTACGGTGGCAACTTACTTTTGGTATTATAATTTGTTTTTATAACTTATTCCAATGTTTGCTATCGACATCACGTCATGAGGTTCTATCCTTGTGCACGATAGCAGCAGCAGCAGCAGCAGGAGGAGAATGTTCATGGAGCGAAGTGCCAATGTCGAGGTCTGCTGGTCACGACGAGAGGGCTTCAGCAGTTTGAGTTTGTGCGGTTTTGCTGTTCCTCCTCCTCCTCCGTTGGAGCAGTACAGACACCGGTGGTTTACTACGCGGTCCATAGCTTGGCTTGCATGGCCACGATCGCACTGTCATGAGGGTGAGGAATCCATTCGACAAATCTCACAGAGCGACGGAATCGCTTGCGTCAGGGGGAACGGCTGAAGGGGAGAGACTTTTTTGACGGAACGTGTTCTGTAAATCTTCGCCTCTTTGTCCGTCACGCAGCAAAGGGCGGCGAACTTTCTCGCAGACTCTAGTGAGATTGTCACATGGCAGCGGGACCATTATTTTTCTAAATTTCAGAGCCAGAATAATTTTGCCAAATTAATGACATTTACGTACAAATTCCTTCTCTAGCTCCGCCCACTTACCCTTGGGTTGGGCCCACCAAAAGCCTAAATAACCTCTTGTTAGCGATCTCTGGAAGCACGTAATCAACCAGGCAGGGTGTTGACTGTAATGTTAGCCGACTCTCTGTGTTGTATTGCATTATATTTATAAGTTTACTAGGTTTGTTTTCTCTTTCATTTGTACCTGGTGATGATTGATTGTGTTGCAATCGAAACGTCGTATGCTATTATTTATTTTATTTTATTTCTACGTGACTTTACCGAAAGAACCAAATAATAAATGACCTCTTGTTGAAGCTTCTCTTTCTCCTACGTCAGCAGTTCTCCTGCTGTGTTTGGCTCACCTGATGACGGTTGCTTGTGTTAGCGATCGAAACGTCGTGATCTATTAATTTTCTACCCACGTGACTTCACCGAAAGAACCAAAGAGTATGGATTCCTGCAGTCACGAAAGCTTCAAATCAAGATTACAATCAAACTTATTAGAATGGATTTTGTGTGAGTCATTGGTGACTTGGCTAGTGGCCATCGGCTCCGCTACACTTGAGAACCCGGTTTTTAATCGTGGCTTGCCCAGGTGCCAGCTCATTGCCTTGACCTCCCTAAGCCACCCGGTCACGTCGGCTGTAACTTTCATGACAGAGTAGTTGTAAGTCCCTCGCACGCACGTGTTTTGTGACGTACCAATGAACTCCTCATTATCGCCCAGAGCTCTGGCTAGACATGTCGGCGCCCTTGGCAAGGTGGGTGCCACAGTCGTGCCACTCACCCACCTGCCACCACTCCCCCCCCTGACCTCCCCCCACCCACGTGCCCCACTTCCTCCGTGGACATCGTTAGATTTTCAACAATTTTGGGTTTGCGTGTGTGTGTATGTTGAACGTCTTTCTCACCGTACGTAGCCAACCGTGATAGTTTGAGGTGCCGATTATACACATGACCATGCCTGTAAAGGGAATATATATGTGTATATCTACGTTTAATTCCCAATTCTGACAGTGTCTCCTCATTGCTACAACTTTACCATTACCTTTTCCTTTCATGTTATAGTTTTCAACAAAAATATTTGTGTTCTGCTGTTTATTTCATTTCATAAGCATGCGGCGATGCAAGCTTGGCATTACTGTGGCGAGATGTTAACTACTTCGTCTGGCATACGGGAGGTCGTGGGTTTAATCCCGACCCTAATGCTTGTATGTATGAAGTTTGCGTGTCTCTCTCCTCGTGATCACGTGGATTTTTCTCCAGGTCCTCCGGTTTTTCCCCTCCATATTTAGAATCAACGTGCGTTTAGAAAGCGTGCCTGCTATGAATTTCCATGTGACAAGCCTCTTGGTTGAGATGTCATTCGTGGCCAAGTCGCTTCTGATAATAGAGCCACATTGAGAGACAACGAGAGAGAGATGAGCATGTGCATTAGATAACATACCGAGGGTAATAGCATCGTTTAAACTCTAAGGAGAAGTAAGTTGGGCTTGGGTAGGACACATGGTGGCTCTTAGGGAATCATTGCCGATGGTCAAGAATAACGACAGCCAAGGATTGAAACGAGAAGACCCGTGCCGCAGAGACGGAGCGATGGAATCGGCGTGTGTCCACGAGCTGGGTGGATTTTCTGCATCGCTGGATGATGAGAGATGTAGGCAGCAATGGGGATCCTTCATCAAGCAGTGGATCTATCAGGGCTGACGATGATGATGATGATGAAGCCTATGGGATGCATGTTGTTGCGTCGTGTGTTCATACAACTCTGACGGCTTTAATAAGTATAATGCACACGACAGAATACGCACAAAAGAACGTTTGAAAGTGTGTGCGGAGGGGGGAGTAGAGAGTGAGACGAGAAGGGTAGGAGAGTGCGTGGAGGGGGAGTAGAGAGTGAGACGAGGGGAGAGGTTGGCAGAGTCCACTGAGGAGCATCGTCAAGACGACGGCGATCGCCACCACCACGTGTACCTGCCACCTGTACCGTACCCGCCACGTGTACCTGCCACGTGTACTCGCCACGTGTACTCGCCACGTGTACCTGTCACGTGTACCTGCCACGTGTACTCGCCACGTGTACTCGCCACGTGTACCTGTCACGTGTACCTGCCACGTGTACTCGCCACGTGTACTCGCCACGTGTACTCGCCACGTGTACCTGCCACGTGTACTCGCCACGTGTACCTGCCACGTGTACCTGTCACGTGTACCTGCCACGTGTACTCGCCACGTGTACTCGCCACGTGTACCTGCCACGTGTACCTGCCACGTGTACCTGCCACGTGTACCCGGCGTGGAGTGGAGGAAGCGAGAGCCGGGCCGCGCCATCCCCAAACGGAGGACACCGTTTGACGACGCGATGCGCTCTCGGCTTCGCGAGGCTCTGCGTGCGTGCGGGAGATGGGGGGGGGGGGGGGGGTGTGAGGAGTAACAGCGACGTGTACCCGCCTTTGTCTCTCCCCCCCAACTCCTCCTCCCACCTCCTCCGACAGGAGCCCGCCTCGCGCGTCGGCCGAGTCCCGTGAGTAGTCGCGTGCGGAGTGCGCTGTGGTGGCGTGCGCGCCCGCACTCCCCGCTACATGTCCACGCGCCTGCGCTGCCAGGGCACGCTGCTGGTGGCACGCGAACAGCAGCAGCAGCAGCCGTCGTCGTCGCTGGCGAGAAGCCTTCGAGCCACCCCGAGTCGTCTCTGCGGTGGAGGAACCCGCGACGCGGCGTCCTTCGAGGTAGCGTGCACAATCACCCCCCCCCCCTGTCTAATCACTGCCTCCTCGTGGTTTTGGCGATCGTGGTTGGCGCGTCTGTGCCGCCCGGTACGAACGTGGTGGCTAGGGAGGTGGTCACTACCTCGCCTGGTTCGCAGGAGGTCGTGGGTTCGATCTCGACCCCGACGCCTGCTGCTGTATATTTGGAGTTTGCGTGTCTCTCTCTCTCTCTCATCATCATCACGGTGGTTAGGAAATGTTAACTACCTCGCCTGGTATACAGGAGGTCGTGAGTTCGATCTCGACCCCGACGCCTGCTGCTGTATATTTGGAGTTTGCGTGTCTCTCTCTCTCCCCGTGGTCGCGTGGATGTTGTCAACGGGTCCTCGGGTTTCTTCCCCTCCACATTTCGAATTGAAGATTGTTACGGAATACGGCTTCATAAGAATGGAAACCATTGACACAATCTTTGTGATCAGTGGCGAGATGTTAACTACCTCGCCTGGTATACAGGAGGTCGTGGGTTCTATCTCGACCCTGACGATATCCGTATATTTGAAGTTTTCACGCTCTCCCCGTGGTCGCGTAGATTTTTCTCCCACCTCCCACGCCCCCACATTTAACAACACGTGCTTCGAATATTTGTCTGCAAGACAATTCCACGCGACAATGAGACATTTTTGTCGAGCTATTATTTGTGAGAGCCAGGTCGCTTCTGAAAAAAAGAGCTACATAGCTCAGTGGTTCCTTACCTGGTTAAAAAAAGAAAGTTAATTAGTTCATCATTCCACCTCCGCTCGTGGCCTCACCGCCAGCTGGTGAACGCGTGAGCGCATTCTGGGCTTCCTCTAAGTCGGCACGACAGAGGTCGCAAACGGGTTTTGATTCCTTACCCGTACCCGTACCCGGCCGTACCAGGGTCGCAAACGGGTACCCGAACCCGGTCGTACCCGTACCCTACCCGTACGCGGCCGTACGCGGCCGGGTACGGGTAGGGTATAGGTATAGAGTACCCGATTGCGACCTCTGGGATGAAGCCACGTTGCAGGCGCGGGTGGGTTGATTCTAGGAACTTGAATTGTGAGAAGAGACATGAAATGAATGACAGTTACTCACCAGTGACTCACGGCCTACCCGTACCCGGCCGCACCAGGGTCGCAAACGGGTACCCGTACCCGGCCGGGTACGGGTAGCCGGGTAGGGTACGTGTATCGGGTACCCGGTTGTAACCTCTGCGACACGGCCTTCAACGAGTGCGCCAACATCGACACGGGAGAAGACCTAAAGACTGCGGGGTCCAAATTTCGATTTGAAGCTTTCGTGACTGCAGGGATTCATCTTCTTGGTACTTTCGGTAAAGTGAATGACTCATTCAGACGCTGTCTTTCCGACAGGCCTGTTCTTCACCCGAGGACGACTGCTTGCGTTGTGGCCGAAACGTCGTGAGAATTGTATTTTATTATGTTTTATTTTTATTATTTTATTATTTCCCTTCTACGTGACTTTACTGCTGGGTCCATCACGGCCTGCGACGGGAGTGGAGTGGGGGGGGGGGGTAATTCGTCTCTTTCTTTGAAATCCCGCATCAAAGGGGAGCGAGCGATTTTCACGCAGAGCAAAGTGGAAAGCAACCGCACCTGTGGAGTGATCGTGAAGTGTAACACACACGCACTTTACAACGTTAATGCTGTCCCCCGCACACGCGACCCCCGTGAACTTTCCAAAGACTCGAACGTGGCATCAACACACTCCGCTGGGAAACTTCACAACACTTCACTGAGCACGGAATGTGAACTCCGATTTATCGCTCACGCATTTCTGCCCCCCCCTGCCCCCCACTAGCTGCATCGCCCATTGTGTTTATTGCCCCCGGCGTTATTCCTCGTGCCGACTGCTCTCGACTGAACAAGTGAAGGCTGAGCATTCAACACAGACGGGGTGCTTAGCCCCCTCGCCCCCGCAGCTTCCCCCCCTTCTCCCCTCTCCAGCACCTCCGACGCTTCAGGACTGGGAGCAGCACAGGATGGAGTCTTGAATATTATTTTTTAAATATATATTCGAGCAGAAAATCCCACCCGAAAAAACAAGAATAATAATCCCAATAATTATGACAGCTTAAATAGCGCCTTTCGTAGAATCTAAAGGCGGGGGGTCAGTGGTTGGGTAAGGAAGTAGCTTTGAGTTAAAATGGAAAACGACTTCTGAAACGGGGAATGTCTTCAGGTGGAAGGACTTGAAGATCCCAACCGAGCCGGACTCTTTGATAGCCCTCGGCAGAGAGTCCCACCGTCCGGGTACCGCGGGAGAGAGAAGGTCCAGAGAGTCATCTCCTGGTGAAGCTCAAAGCAGCTGGAGTAAATTGGCACCTAACCGTAACTGTAATTCAAACATGTTCAGCGGTGCGAACAAATAATCATACCCCTGGAGGTACAAATATGCACCATAGTGGGGACAGCTATTTGGCGGAAGAGGTATTTGCTTGTAACAGCCTCAGTGAAAAACTCGACCAGTTTAAGTACAGGCCAGACATTTCCTCGGCTTGAGACACTCTCAGATGCACACATGTTGAACTTCTTCCGTAACCGTACGTAGCCAATCGTGCTAATCGGAGATGCCCGCAGCACCACTCAGCGATGTTTCTGTTCTTTTATCACCGAGTAGCAGAAGCAGCAGCAGCCACGCCATGTAACTAACCACACCTCTAGACCCACTCTGAAAGTGGTCGTGGTCTGAGCTCGACATTTGCAGAAGGTGCGGTCATCGGGTCGCTCGGATGACACCTGGTGCCGCAAGTTCAGCTGTTGCCCAAAGAGTCAGAAGATCATCAAGGTTCAAACCACCGATCCACTCCAATCAGAGGACTTAGAGAAATACTGGGTAACAGCAAAGCAATGTGACACAACTTCCCGTGATGTAACTTGGTGGAACGAGTTGCATGGCCAGTGGATGGAACATCAAGCAGCCTATGAAAGATCATATTCTTAGGTTTTTTCCGGTAAAGTCACGTAGGTAAAACATTAAAATTAATAAAAGTAAAATAAAATAAAAATCACAACGTTTCGGAGGCAACACAAGCTTCCGTCTTCAGGTGGAACCGTCACAGCCACGACAGCTGTATCAAGTAAATCAGAGATTACAAGAGCTACCACTCCGTATATATAATGGTTGGAGAGGGGGAAGGGCCAAGTACGGCACACTTTTTATTAATATGGTAAGGTGAGGCTTAAGAGGCTGAACCTAAGAATATGAATCCTTGCAGTCACGAAAGCTTCAAATCTATGAAAGATCAGTCGCTCTTCTGGTTAGCCCATAAAGAAATGCATTTTCCACGCTCTTCTTACTCAGAACCAGTGGCACTTGATGCTCTTGATGAGCCAGAGAACGATTGGTCTTTTGCCCACTGGCAGTGTCTTTGGCTCCAATTCCATCCACGCCGTCCGATCTTGAGCTTTCTTCTTCGTTTCACTTTTTGGACCCCTTTACCTTCAAGTAATCAACCAGCATCATTATATTTTCTTGTTTCTTGACCTCTTTTGCCAACTCCTTTGCAGAACTTCCTTCATTAAGCCTTCAAATGTGCCCAATCCACAACTTTTGCCATTAACGGATTGTTCTAATTAGACCTCTCTCCTCATTAACCTGCTGTCGCACTTGCTCATTGCTCTATCTCTCCATACGAATAATTTTCTCTATTTGGTATCATGCCCACCACCTCCATCTACGTACAGTGAGGGAAAAAAGTATTTGATCCCCTGCTGATTTTGTACGTTTGCCCACTGACAAATACATGATCAGTCTATAATTTTAATGCTAGGTTTATTTGAACAGTGAGAGACAGAATAACAACAACAAAAATCCAGAAAAACGCATGTCAAAAATGATATAAATTGATTTGCATTTTAATGAGGGAAATAAGTATTTGACCCCCTCTCAATCAGAAAGATTTCTGGCTCCTAGGTGTATTTTACACAGGTAACGAGCTGAGATCAGGAGCACACTCTTAAAGGGAGTGCTCCTAATCTCAGCTTGTTACCTATATAAAAGACACCTGTTCACAGAAGCAATCAATCAATCAGATTCCAAACTCTCTACCATGGCCAAGACCAAAGAGCTCTCCAAGGATGTCAGGGACAAGATTGTAGACCTACATAAGGCTGGAATGGGCTACAAGACCATCGCCAAGCAGCTTGGTGAGAAGGTGACAACAGTTGGTGCGATTATTCGCAAATGGAAGAAACACAAAAGAACTGTCAATCTCCCTCGGCCTGGGGCTCCATGCAAGATCTCACCTCGTGGAGTTGCAATCATCATGAAAACGGTGAGGAATCAGCCCAGAACTACACGGGAGAATCTTGTCAATGATCTCAAGGCAGCTTGAACCATAGTCACCAAGAAAACAGTTGGTAACACACTACGCCGTGAAGGACTGAAATCCTAGGGGTCCACAGCGATTCGGGGCAACCGCCCCGGGCCCAGCGCTTTGGGGGGCCCCGTGCACTTCGATGCCATGGTGTCGGGTGTCATAGTTCCGGTTTAGTTTGAAAGGCGTCGGGCGGGCCCACGCGGTGGGGTTTGCCTCGGGCCCCCCACCGTCCTCCCGCCCTCCCGCCCCCTGTGGACGGCTCTGTCTGCATGAGTAAGTGTTTCTCCTGCCGTGTGCCATGGGGCATGCCTGTACAACACAGGAATCATTCGCGTCGTCGTGCACATTATAAATAACACCGTAAATACGCAGGCAATATGTCTCAACCACGCGTCCGTCTCTCCACGCAGTAAATAAAAACACATTTCTTACACAGCCCGTTAGCACAGGCACAGCCGTCTGTGGGTACATAATTTGAGCAGCATTTATTCAACGCAGGAAAACTCTGGAACCGGTTTCGACACCACATTGTCTCATCAGCAGAGCCGCGCTTGCTTGCATTGATGACGGTTCGAATGCAAGTTTGGTGAATGTGGCCTCTGGTCACAGTGAGTGTGAACGCATTATCTGAACGAGCGATCGGGTATAATCTGTATGG